GCTGGATTTAGAAAAGGACATAGAACAAGGGATATCATTACTGACATCAGGTGGATCTTGGGTGAAAGCAAAGAATAGCAGAAAGATGTTTACTTGTGTTTTACTGACTGTGCAAAAGCATTTGATTGTGTGGATCATAACAAATTATGGGCAACATTGAGAAGAATGAGAATTCCATTAATTAAGACTTAATTGTTCTCATGAGGAACCTGTACATAGACTAGGAGGCTGTCATTCCAACAGAGCAAGGAGATACTGCATGGCTTAAAATCAGGAAGGGAGGGCATCAGGATCATATCCTTTCACCATGCTTATTCAAGCTGTATGCTGAGCAAATAATCCAAGAAGCTGGACTATATGAAAAAGAGCATGGCATCAGGATAGGAAGAAGACTCGTTAACAACCAGCGATATGCAGATGACACAACTTTGCTTACTGAAAGTGAAAATGACTTGAAACACTTATTGAAGAAGATTAAAGACTACAGTCTGCAGTTTGGATTACATCTTGATGTAACTCAATTCAACCCAACTCACTGCCATTGAGTCAGATCCGACTCATAGCAACCCCTCCTTGGGTTTCCAAGGTGATATCACTACGGAAGTAGAATGCCCAACCTTCCTTCTGAGGAGTGGCTGGTGGGTTTGTTCCACCAGCCTTCTGGTTAGCTGTCAAATGCCATAAGCACTACGCCATCAATCCTCACAACTGGACCAAAAGCAGCATCACGATAAATGGAGAAAAGATTGAGTTTGTCAAAGATTTCATATTACTTGGTTCCACTGGGCACTGTTTTGTTCTGTTGTACACAGGGTTGCTGTGAGTCAGAGCTGACTCAATGACACCTAACAACAAGTGGAAATATTTCAACAAGTAGAAAATATTAAATGGCAGGGTAAAATATCTTTGTGCTAATTAAGTAATTGAGAACAGTGGACTTCAAAGCCTTGATTATACATCCCTAGCAGTAGAAAAAAAGGACAACAAAAATGTTATCTTTAATTGTACATACAGTAAAATAAAATACAATATATTTTTTTGGAAACTATCTACATATACTGATTTCCAAATATATTCCATATACTATGTGACATACACAAAAATGAAATTTTGAAAATCGGATGAATTGAAAGAATAGTGAATTGTGCTGCATGCCTGCTGTGGTAGTTAAGTTTGTGTGTCAACTTGGCTAGGTCTGATTGAGTGGCTGGGTAGCGGGATGTTCCCCATGATAAGACTGGTAATCAACTCCATGAAGGAATCTACTGTGAGCAGCTGAGTAGCTGCCTTAGGGATGTGGTCTGCTTCCTGTATATAAGCAGAAGCCTTGGGGAATGGTCTCTAGCTTATCGCACTTTGGACCCTGCATGTAGCTGTGTCGTGGTTCAGCAGCCTGTCATGCTCTGTCGACCTTGGGACTTTCAATGGACTTGAATGAATGGCTTTCCATGTGGTTTGGTAACATTGGGGCTGTGCCTTTTTACTTGTCAACCTTGGGCTTGTCAGCCTCAGCAACCAGCAGCTGTCTGAGTGAAGAAAAGCCTCTGGCTTTGGTGGGCCGGGAGGGGAGGCAGAGCTGAAGCCCGAGGCTGAAAGGCTTTCACCTAGCCCCTAGAGCCTGGCACTTTGAACTTGGACTTAAAGCCTCCAGACTGTAAGAGAATAAACTCCTGTTTGTTAAGGCCAACCCATTTGTGGTATATTTCCTGTCAGAGTGGCACTAGGTAACCAGAACACTTGTGATGCAGTGAATTACTTGGTATGGCTTTTCTAGCCATAGTCTTTGTAACTCCCACTGGATTTTGGGTGGGACCATGCAAATAAGGTGTATAGAACTCTGATGCTGGGATTTTTTCTGGTCACCTAATGCCACTCTGACATGAATATATACCACAAATGGGATGGCCTTAACAAACAGGAGTTTATTCTCTTGCAGTTTGGAGGCTAAGTCCAAGTTCAAAGTGCCAGGCTCTAGGGGCTGGGTGAAAGCCCTTCAACCCTGGGGTCCAGCTCTGCCTCCTGCTCCTGGCCCACTGGAGCTAGAGACGTTTCTTCACTCAGACAGCTGCTGGCTGCTGAGGCTAACAAGCCCAAGGTCAACAAGTAAAATGACACAGTCCAGATGTTACCAAACCATACAGCAGGCCATTAATTTACGTCCATTGTAAGTCCCAAGATTGGCAGAGCATGGCAGGCTGCTGAACAACGACATGGCTACATGCAGAGTCCAAGCATGCCATAAGCTAGAGACTATCCCCAAGGCTTCTCCTTATATACAAGAAGCAGACCACATCCCAGAGGCAACTACTCAGCTGGTAGATCCCAGCATGGAGTTGATTGCCAGTCTCATCACGGGGAATAACTACCACCAGCTGCCCAGCCACTCAACCAGGCCCAGCCAAGTTGACATACAAATTTAACTGCTACTGGATGGTTAGTTTTTTCACTCTGCCAGTCTTAAAATGAGCCCTCCTAGAGCCACTCTTCGGAAGGAAGTTTGGGCAATCTACTTCCATAGAGATACCCCCTTGGAAACCCAAGGAGGTGTCGCTATGAGTTGGATCTCACTCGACTGCAGTGAGTTTGAGTTAGAGGCAGAGAGAGGATCTCACTGCTATCAAGAGAGAAGAGCTGGACATGAAGTGGAACATGTCTTAGGACCCGAGATCCCTGCCCTGGACCTCCTTGGCTGAGAGATGCCCTGGCAGAGAAATGGTGGCAATGGAACTTAGAGACATGAGACAGAGCAGCAGGCTTCCTTGGCCCACAGAGGCAGAGACCAGGCCGAGAGGCCAACAGCCAGAGAGGCATGTCTGAGAGCATAGTAGAGGGGAGACTGTGCTGATCTAAGAACTGTATCTTGAGAGTATTCCTGAACCTAAATTGTAGTCTGTTACTTCCCTAATAAACCCCCATAATCATGAATATGGTCTGTGAGTTCTGTGTGGCCATTGCAACAAATTTTCAAACCCAGCTGAGAAGTAAGTAGTACTGTGGGAGGGTGTCAAAGTTGGTGAAAATGCTGGAGTGTGGCGGCATGTCTGGCCTCATAGGAATACGCCTTGGGCTGCTGAGGGTGATTCTCTCTTCCTTTCGTGAGGTTAGAGGAAGTCAGAAGATTCCACCTCCATGCCCTTTTCACATGCCTCTCTTGGTGACAGCTGGTTCTTAAACATAGTGGTGATTGACATTGGTTAGTTTGAAAATTTTAGTCCAGCCACTGCTTCAGATAGCAGAGTTGTCTCCTTGTTTTGAGTGTGTCTGGAGGGGTCGCTATGAGTCAAGTCAACTTGATAGCAAATAACAACAACAACAACAACAACAAGTGTAACTGTTAGCGGTTTGGAGTCAGGGCTTTCAGGAAGATAAGGGAAGTCAGGTCAGAGCCTCCTGTTACAGTCAAGCCTGGAGCCAAGAGGAAGGGATGAGGCTGGAGAACTTCTGCAGAAAGAATGGCAGGAGGAGTCTCGGCATAGAGAGATGAAGAATTGACACTTTCTCAGGCTTACCTACCAGGGAGCAATCTGTGGTCATTCCAGGTGATTTTCAAGAAACATTTCAGTTAATCTCTACACAACTGCAGACTAGGACTGCTAAATCCCTGCTTCAAAATGGAGGAGACAAAAGTGACTTGCCTAGGGAGCAACATTTAGTGAGTTGCAGCATGAGAAGTGAACCCTGGTGTCCTGGCCCTGGCCCAAAGTCACCAACACATAGCTGTATATCTGAGGAGGAGTGTACCCTATAATTCCTGTCTTATTTTCAATCACTGTGGTTTGGAGTTGGTTTAGATTTTGTATTGGTATAATTTCAAGAGAGCATGACTTGTTGAGCTCTGAAGTTAAAATATATGTTCTATCCCTTATTTCACACTGTAAGAGCCAAGGTTAAGATACAAAGGTGAGATCTGAGGTATAAGTTACAAGTCAGATTAATTCTGAGGGAGGTTTCATGGGAACAGGATAGAAGAGTAGAAAGGCGGTGTCAGGGGGCTATGGACACTCCCAGGAGCATGTGGGTTGGCTCTAGGGATCACCTTGAGCTGGTCTCCAGAATCCGCAGAACCCAAAAGGGCAGCAGTGGGAGCTCTTCATAGAAGTCCTGAGAAGAAGACAGAGGGCGACAACAAAAGCCTTCCAGAAAGCTTCACAAGAAGCAGATCTGGGCTCTTCTTTCACCTCTGCCAGTGATCATTTTGACAAACTTCTCACCTATGTGAGTCAATTTTCTCACTTCTGAAGTGGCAGTGATAATTCTTATTTACCAGGTTGCTGTGGGCATACCTCCTGAAATAGTGTATACATGGGAAGGTTATGTAAACCATAAAGTAATTATAACTACACTTTCCTCCCTGTTGGATAGGCTTAAAAAAATGACTAGATAATTGAGAATTACCTGAAAATCATTCTTGGTTCTTTCAAGTAAATAACAGCAACAATAATAGTAATAATGGCTGATATTTATTGAGTACCTACTATGTATATGAGGAAAGCAGTTTATGTATATGTCTTAAAAAAACCAAACTCACAGCCTTTGAATTGATTTTGACTCGTAGTGACCCCCTCCTTGGGTTTCTGAGGCAGTATGTCTATGGACGTAGATTGCCCAGTCTTCCTTCCAAGGAGTGGTTGGCGGGTTTGAGCCGCCAGCCTTCTGGTTAGCAATGATAGCCTTAGGCACTATGCCATGTCTAGTGACTCTTTACCTCTTTGTCCTGACTAAAGGGAATTCTGGCTATCCTACCAGGGAAGCTCCTTAGCCCCTCCAGTTGTCCATTAATAGAATTATGTCACTTAGGGATTGGAAGTTGTGAGGTGGAAATGCACTGATATGGTAGAGACCCTACTGAGGTGATAAAATAAGCCAAGAGTTACAGTGTTTGACTTGCTGTTTATGATTAAGCCACAGAGCAGCTGTCATTGTTCCTTCTCTGTGGCACTTGTGAATGTGAGAACTGGTAGGAGAAGGAATCTCACACAACCTGCCCTTGTTGTTTCCAGGCTCCTGGGAGCTCTTCACACACCGCACCACTCTGCCAGCATAGAAAGTCAAGGTGAGTGCCCATGTCCCCAAGTGCTCCATGAGTCTCCCCAGGGAAACCAGGGTGGGTGCTATTTTGTTCTGTGGTAGTTTCTTTTTAATTTGTAAAAATAAATGGTCAAAGGTGACAGTATAAACACAAAAGGGACATAGGTCCCTTTTCCTAGATGTGATCTCATGGCATTTAGACATTAGAGTGGTGAGTGGTTTGCTTGTAAAAGTGCAACTTTTGGGGGGGATGGGTTAGGAAGAATAACAGAATTGACTGTAGCTTCTGAGGCAAGAGCTCCATCTGCCTGTGTCAGGGGAGGTGCTCTGAAGGACCACCCTTGGCCAAGAGTTCCACTTTGTGGATTGTGGTTGGCTTAGGAGAAGACACAGTATTTATAATTATATATGTGTTGTTGTTGTTGTTATGTGCTCTCGAGTCGGACCCGACTCATAGCGACCTCTCCCTGGGTTTCTGAAGCAGTATCACTACGGAACTAGATTGCCCCATCTTCCTTCTGAGGAGTTGCTGGTGGAGTTGAACCACCAGCCCTCTGGTTAGCAGTCCAGTGCCTTAGGCATTATGCTACCAGAGCTCATATATATATATATATATATATATATATATATATATCTCCCAACAGAGAGCCAATCATCACCAAGTCCTAAGAGTCTATATGCTTAATGCAGCCTGACCATTTCTACCTTTGAGTCTAATCCCTTTTCCTGTGTCTCATGGTCTCCCAGGTCTCCCATCTGGATGCAACCCGGCCATTTGGCAGGCTTCTTGCTCTCCATCCTGTGCACCCTTGTATTAACCCATGCACAGGGCTTTCAGCAGAGCTGGCATAGAGCTGTGCATACTAGAGGGTCTCTCTCTTGCTTGCCCCTTTATCATCAGTTTTGTTCCTGGCTGAATGAGCTTTAGAGATACAAAGCAATTTTGATTATTCTTTCCTAGCTCACCCACCCCCATCTCCAAGGATCAAATCTAGCCTCCTTGGGGCCTATGGGCCCCGCTGATCTAGCTTTTCCCCATCAGTGCCCCAGAAGACTACAGGCCCACACAAGGAGCATGTATATCCAAAAATGAGATGATATATACAAGATGTAAAGTTCACCCCTGTCTACAGCCTTGGCCTCTGCTCACATGATTTCCTTCACTCTGACTGGCACTCTTCCCAGCTGCCTTGTGTTTGCCCAGAAATCCTCCCAAGCATGGTTTGATGCTCCCTCCCAGCAGGGAACTTAGGTCTTTCTGACCTCTACTGCAGCCAAGACTAAAAAAACAGTTGCCATGGAGTCAACGCAAACACATGGTGACCCCATGTGTGTCAGAGTGGAATTGTGTTCCATAGGGTTTTCAATGGCTTACGTTTTAGAAGTAGATTGTTAAGCATTTCTTCCAAAGCATCTCTGGGTAGACTTCAACTGCCAACCTTTCAGTTAACAACTGAACATGTTAACTGTTTGTACCACCCAGTCTGTATTTACCTGCCATAAATATTGTATGCTTCACTGCTGCAGACAGCTTTTTCTATATTTTTCCCTCTTAGTATCTTGTGTGAAGAGCTCTGGTGATGTAGTGGTTAGAACATAAGGCTGTTAACCACAAGGTTGGTGGTTCAAACTGACCAGCTGCTCCACGGGAGAAAGATTAAGCAGTCTGCTTCTGTTAAAATTTAGCATTGGAAACCCTATGGGGCAGTTCTACTCCGCCCTAAAGGATTGCTATGAATTGGAGTAGACTTGATGGTAAGGGGTTTGGTTTCGTAGACACTTGTGTTGACCCAGAAATGACCTTTATGGAAACTTTTTTAAATTGCATGCCATCCTGTGATTGCAAAACTGCTCAGAATTCATACCCATAGTTAAATTCCCTCTCTGTGTGCTTGTAGGAAAATCAAGAACACTGAATGCTTGTCCTCTTTTCTCCCTTCCTGTGAAATTCCTTGTCACCATTTCCTGAGAATCTCTTCTCTGCTGTCCTAGGCCAGCCACCGTGATCCCCACAATGGAGGATGGCTATGAGCTGGACCTCACATACATCACAGAGCGTGTCATCGCTGTCTCCTTCCCTGCCAGCAGCTCTGAGGAATCCTATCTCCACAACCTGCAGGAGGTCACACGCATGCTCAAGTCCAAGCATGGTGACAACTACCTGGTGAGTATAGGGACCCTGAACATGGGGGCACATGAGCATGGCAAGCCTGGAGAAGGGCCAGTGCAGGCACTACAGGTGGCATCAGCATTTGCAGGTCGGTGACATACACGGTGCTTGCATATCCATTACACTTGTGGCCTCACTTGCTTTCCCTGGTGCTGTGAAAGGCAGGTTTTCCAGGTCGTTCTTTTACAAAGGAGGAAATACTGGTCTGTGTTGTTGCCACTGCTTTGTTGCAGTGAGAGGTGTACATGTTTCCATGGACACTCTGCATCAGGGATGGCCACTACCCCATTCCCGCAACCAGCAGCCTCTTTCCCATTGCCTAGAGATTCTTCTCAAGACATTGCTACAGCTAGCTGCTCTCAGCAGGTGAATATAATATCCTTGGTATAAAAAGTGAACTCTGACACTCCTCCTGAAAAATACATTAAGAAGACAAAGGAGTAGATGCCCAAGAAGCCAGAAACATCCCAGAAAACAAGTACAGAGTTGATTTTCAAAGCTCATGTGTAAAGTTGGCAGAAAGGACCCAAATGGGAGGAAAAGTAGAAAAACAGCCTTTCCCCATTTCTCCCTGTCCAGTTGACCCCCTTATTCTCTATTTCCTCTGTTGGTAGTCTATGTAGAGTCTGCTAGCTCTTATTCCTTGTTCTGTTGTGATCATTACTTCCATTGAAGTGCAGCAACTCAGCTCCCACTTTCTCTTTGCCCTGTAAGGCCTCTTTACCTACCTTGAAGCTAATCCTAACCATCAGTAAACAAGGATATATTCTCAGCACTATTCCTGTTCTTCATATTGGTGAACTTGGGCTATGGGATCTGTACCCTGGGGACCCAATGTGAAGGGGTTCCAAGAGGGGCACTGTCTCACTTCAGAGAGCTACTAGCCCTACCTGTGTAGGCCTTAAGGACAACCTCCTGTGTAGGCATAGGTTATAGCTCCTCAGAGGTTGTGGATGCATTCAGGACCTTATCTCTATTCTTGATGCCTGACCTAGCAGTCCCCTGAATATTGTAAAGGATGTGACATATCTGGGCACCTGTCTGATAGTCACACACCTCTGATAACTGCTCTGCTCTATCTTAGGGACTTCTTTTTATCACAAGGCAGGTCTTCTTATCTGGAGCTTTTCTTAAGCCTTCCACAGGCTCATCAGCATGCCCCAAACTTCCCTCTCCAGCATCCTTCCCATACCCACACACCTTCATTGAAGGGACCACAGAGTGATCCCCCACATACTGGGTTCTTGGATTGTTCTTCCATCGACACTGAGAAGGACAGAATTGGGGTCAGAAAACCTCCCATCCTCCTGCAAAATCGCCAGGGCAGTGGTTCCTTACTTGTTTTGAGACAAGGACCCTTTTGAAAAATGTGAAGAAAGACACATGAGCATGTTTTTATAAACCCTGGATTAAGAAACCTGGCTCAGGCTGATCTGTGTTTCTCCTCATACATCTGAAAGGTCTCTAATTTCATGAATTACATTCTTAGATGATTAAATATGAGGAAAAAAAATCCTCAAATTCTGTATGAGCCCATGCCATTGTGATGTACCTTGTCATTCCTTAATGGATCAGACTATTTGAGGAAGAACTGTGTGTGCTGTGCTTCTAATATGCTAATGAAGTTGGAATATAATTGTTTTTAGTAGGCCAAGGGCAACCTTTGCTTGGGATAAAAATCAACATGGGCCCTAGTGTGGGGCAGAAACAGTACCTGGCTGGGTAACTTTGGAAAAGCTACTTTTCTGAGTACTCCTCTGGCATCCTGTCTCTGAAATGAGATATGCCTTTAGTGAATTTGTAAGGTCTTTTGTTGCTTGAACATTGTCTTTTTTTGGTTTGTTTGTTTTATTTCAGTATTTGTTAACGTCCTACAAACATCTCTGTTTTATCAATGAAATTAGAATGTGGTTTTTGGTTATAAATATTAAGAATATGATCTTTGTGGATATGAGCTTGCCTGGACACTGTAGAATGGAGTCCTTGGGTGGTTTAAATGGTTAATGTCCCAGTTGCTAACCAAAAGTTTGGAGGTTCGAGTATACCCAGAGATACCTTGGAAGAAGGCATGATGATGTACTTCAGAAGAATCAGCCATTGAAAACCCAATGGAGCACAGTTCCATTCTTACACCCATGAGGTCTCCATGAATCTGAGTCAACTTGATGACAACTGGTTTGCACACGCAGAACGATTAGCACAAATAAGAAACAGACCTAATTCACTGCCATCGAGTCAATTCTGATTCATAGTGATGACCCCTTTTGGGTTTCTGATTCGGTAATTCTTTACAGAAGTAGATTGCCCAGTCTTCCTTCTGTGGAGTAGCTGGTGGGTTTGAACTGCCAGTCTTTGGGTTAACAGTTAAATGCCTTAGGCACTATGCTAGCAGAGCTCCTTGTTAGCCTTCTCCTATGCTGTACTTTTTCTCCTGAGTAAGCTTGTGTGTTGTAGGGGTAATGCAAGTCCCATAGGATTTGATATACTATCCTTATTGTGTTTTTTTGTTGTTGTTGTTTTTTGTTTTGTTGTTCTTTGAACGGATATGCATATATGCGTGGTAGTCTTATAATTCTGAATATGTCAAAGGCAAATAAAATGGAAAAATGCAATTGTTCTCTCTTTTGATCTCTGAGGATGGTGACATGCCTAAACGTTTTCTCTTTTCCTTTTGTAGGTATTAAACCTTTCTGAAAAGAGATGTGATCTTACAAAGCTTAACCCAAAGGTATGAATTCTATTCCTTCGTGTTCTGTGTTTTATAAAATGTAGGTGATACTTACTTTGCTCATGTAAAAATAGTCTGCTAAAAGTGTTTGTAGGATGTGACTTGATAATAGGTATTAGGAACTGTTCATATTTTTTATATTAATTTAAACTTTAAAATATATATATATATATTTGGAAGTAATTTGGATTTATGGGAAGTTGCAGAAATAATACAGAGAACTCCTGTGTCACTTCACCTAATTTCTCTCATGGTAATGTGTTACATAATTGATAGTACAATACCAACGCCAGGAAAATAAGAGTGATACAATCCAAAGACTCCATTCACATTTTTCTAGTTTTGCATGTACTGGTTGTGTGTGTGTCTCTGTATTCTCTGTCAAGATACAGAACTTTCATTGCCACAAAGATCTCTCTTGTGCTACTTCTTTATAGTCACAACTGCTCCTTCCCACTGTTAAAATTTTCAATAGCAAAAATTTGGGACTATTTTTATGAATGCAAATGTATGAGTTATACATATATTGGAATATCTTGCAGGCATTAGAATAAAAAACTCAGTAAACTGTCTCTTTAAATACTTGTTAACAAAAGTACAATGAAGAATTTATGTATAATATCTCAGCTGTGTTAAATACACATGGAAAAAGAGACTAAAGGATTCATTAAAATGCTATCTTGTACTTCTGCGTAGTGGAAGGAGTATGAGAGTTTTCCATCTTCCTGAACAGGTTTTTGAATTTTTAAAATGTTTACATTATTTCTGTTGCTTTTCTACTCCAATAGAGCTCTGCTTCCTCTTCTCCCCTTAAAAAATAGAAAAGAAAAAGTTCCTAGTTGGCCATAGTAGCTTTCAGAATGAGACATATTTATCATACTTGGTCAGAGCTGCTATTTTTGGGCATAGACCCACTACATTTATTATCACATGATTATTATTTTCTTTGGTAATGCACCAAACTATAATTAAAATTAGAAGATGCTTCCTCTTCCATGAGCAGAGTTCTCTTTTGAGGAGTTTTGCTGTCTCACAAGTATGTGTGATAGTCCTTTGTCTCTAAGATGATATCTGCACAGAGTGTGGGGGAATGGCTAACTGTACTTTCCCAAACTGTGATTTCAGTTTGAACAGAGGAATTTTGGCAGCAGCTTGGGCCAAGAACTTCTGTTTCAGGTCCTGCCAGATTTAAGCCCTTCCCCACATAAACTTGTACCATTTTCTGCTCCTGAAAGGCCTATCTGGAATTGTCATTCCAGCTGCACAACAATAGATAAGACTGTTGTAGATATGTCTCGTTTAGGCAACATAATGCTTCATGTTTTTATTTTTGGTAAAGGCGCTTGGTCACACTTCTCATTAAGTTTTAGAAAAAGAACATGTAGGATCATTCTTTACTCCTAAATTAAATACATTGATATTAAAAACATGAGATAACTACAGAAGTCTTCAGAAAGTGGAAACTAAGGGAGCATTCTCTTGTTCCAGACAATGGACGTGGGCTGGCCGGACCTGCACGCCCCACCCCTCGATAAGATGTGCACCATATGCAAAGCCCAGGAGTCCTGGCTCAACAGTGACCCCCAACATGTAGTGGTCATCCACTGCTGGGTGAGCAAGCAGAGGATGCCCCCTGTGGTTGTGAAGGTTGTGGGCTCAAGGTCAATGCTGTCTACATGGACATGTTCATGAACCACGTGTCTACTCTTAGTTTCGATTGTGTGACTAGCTCTGTGTTTGTGGTTAAGTTTCACTCTTGTCCTTAAAAAAGAATCCCACACCTCCCAGAGTTTGACTTTAGAATTTCTAGGATTGAAATCTCTGAATGGATATTTTCAACTAATGAATGATATTACTGAGAGTGAATTTCTTCCGTCCCTCCCTCCCTCCCTTTCTTCCTTCCCTCAATCCTTAACCATGGAAAGCCCCCTTTTAAAAAAAAAAAAAAAAGGAAAAAGTACGATATATGGCATCAGATTTTTGGCTGCATCTGAGTTACAGTGAATAATTGGTTAACATGTGACTATGGGTGTGATACTAAACATATCATAGTAAATATGTCGTCTTTTATAAGTTGCACTAGCCTGCAGCAGAAGCTACTTATATGTTTTCATTGGCCCAGAGCTGGCTATATTTGTAGCGTAGGCAGCCTGCTCTGCTCCCTGGAGTCTAGGCCCCCAGTGCAGCCGGGCATCTCTCCTGGGGACCACCTACTTCTTCTTAGCCATTCTCCTTCTACTTCGGGCATCCTTTTTAATTCTCAGGTTTCCTAACTAACTTGAAATTGATTTTTGCCTCTTAACTGAAAATAGTTACTGAAAATAGTTCTAGTTTTTCTGATTGGTGCTGAAAGGGACTGAACTGAGAGTAAGTTTCTCTATGCAACAAGGAACTGGGGCTTAACCCTCCTTGAATACTTTTACTATAAAGGAGAAATTATGATCACACACACATCTTGAGTTTGTACAGGGTGTGGGAAAAATAGTTTGATAGGAAGTTTGCCAGTGGAAAGGGGGCACAGTCCTGTAAGGGGCAATTCCCTCTTTCTAGCATTCTGTCCTGTATTCTATGACAACAAGAACATCTAGAAAATGTTGGTATTTTCATTATGAGACAGTTTAATTCAGATTGTCTTTTAATACTCAAAAGCTACATAAAAATCCATTTATTATGGAATTTAATTTTTTAAAAAATTACTTTCCTGGTTGAGAATATACATGGCAACATAAATACCTAAGCCTTTTATCAAATATGATGTTATTTTAAGGCGTTTCTGCTTAAAAATGTATATCTGGTGCAAATTGCTGCAAACTGGGGAGAAAAAGACATTTTAGAAATAATTCTGATCAATTAAATTTAATTATGTATTATGTTTTCATCAAGCTTATCCTGGATATTTTTACACAATGATGGGTCATTGTTGCCTGAGATCACATACTAAGCAATTCTCAAGCACTATTCCCCAACTCATTAGTTCCTAAAGTGGAGCCACAGCAATGGCAGCATCAGCATCACCTTGTTTCTTATGAGAAGTACAGATTCAAGGGTCCTACCCTAGACCTACCGGATCTGAATGGGTCCCAGCAATCTGTTTTTCTGATAATTCTTATTCATTCCAGAGTTTAGGAAGCACTGCTCTGAACTATTTGTTATGTTTGATTTTTTCCACTTTTATTTTTTAAGAAATAAATTGTAAAACTATTTAAAGCATTTGGATAACAAGTGTTGAAATTACCACATAGAGATTTCTAAAATGCTTCTTATTCTTTAGCAACTAGTGGCTCTCTGGATAAATCTTGTTAATGAAATTAATTGGAGACATGTTAAAACTTACTAAAAATAATTTGTTCATCACTTATGCTATTCTGGTGTCATGTAAACCATTTTTGAAACATTTAGACTACATGCTACGAAAATAAGTCCTCTTTTAATTTAAAATGAGTGATGTTGACATCAACAAAAGTTTATCATAAATCACTGCGGGGGTGAAATTGCCAACATTTGCCAAAATCCATGTGCTTTGCAGAATGTGCATTTCCTTTAACATCATGCCAGAAATTGCTAGCATATTTGGGCCTGTCTTGGCTTGGATAGTGAAAAATGGAGAGGCCAGTATAACAATGTTCCCCTGTTCTCTCTCGCTCTCTCTTTTTTTATTATGGTAAACTACATGTAACAAAATATTTGTCACTTTGACCATTTTGAAATGCTAGTCTGCAGTTCTTTGGAAAGGTTTCATCCCCACTGCACTTTTGTTTTTGAATCAATAGTGAAGAATACACACAGCAAATTGGGTGATCCAGTGACTCTGTTTTGATGAAAACTATTCAAGTCCAAAGGAAGGTTGCTTTTCTAAAGGACTTCATATCTATGGATTTGTTGTGGTTATCTGCCATTGGGTTGGCCCCTGACTCAGGGCTAGTCCATGCACAGTGGAATGAAATGCTGCCTAGTTCTGCTCCATCTGTATGATTGGTTGCAGATAAAACCCTTGTGATCCATAGGGTTTTAATTGGCTAGTTTTCTGAAGTAGACCACCAAACCATTCTTCCTATTCCATCTTAGTCTAGAAGCTCTGCTGAAACCTGTTCAGCATAATATACATGTAAGCCGCCACTGACAGAAGATTGGTGACTACAGCTGAGGTGCATTTACTGGAATGGAATTCAGGTCACTAATACAGAAGGTGGGAGCTCTGGTAGCATAGTGGCTAAGACACTTGCCTGCTAACCAGATGGCTGGCGGTTCAAACCCACCAGCCACTCCTCGGAAGGAAGGTTGGGCAATCCTACTTCCGTAGAGATACTGCCTCGGAAACCCAAGGAGGGATCACTATGAGTCGGGTTTGACTCGATGGCACATAACAGCAACAACAACACAGAAGGTGAGGATTCTACCACTGCCTCCTACCATAGCTAGTACCATAAAAAACAATGATAGATTGAAGATAGTAGTGGTAAAGGCCAACCTTTCTGCCTGGTTCTGACTTGTAGAGAAATTTATGTCTTAAAGACACTGTTTTGTAAAAGAAACACACCAGTAGATGTACAATTAATAATTGTGAATATTAGGATTCAGCTTTAAAGGTTTTACATATGCCTGCATTGAAAATCACTGTCCTGGGCTAAGGTGGAGAATACTCTTGGGTAACATATGCATAAGATTGTAGGTTTATTGGAATTGTGATTTGGATTTGCTCTGTCATTCTCTTAAAGAACGGACTTCCCAAAAAACCAAACTCACTGCCATCGAGTCTTTTCCGACTAATAGTGAACCCCATTAGGTTTCTGAGACTGTAAATCTTTACAGAAGTAGATTGTTCCATCCTCCTACTGTGGAGGCTGGTGGGTTTGAACCACTGACCTTCTGGTTAGCAATCAGGTGCCTTATTCACTCTGCTGCCAGAGCTCCAAAGAGCAGACTTAGGAATATGTTGGTGTTCTGCCGATTTGGCTTTATGCAATTCTAGATCAAGATAAACGAGCTTTTTGTTTTTTGTTTTAAGTTTCTATATCTTTATTTGTTCATGTCATTTCATAAAAGTGAGAACATACTATTTGGTGATTAATTTTGGTCAGCATAATGTCCTCCAAGTTCATCCAACTCCAAGTTCATCCATATTCCAGATGTTTTGGGAACTCCTTTTCTTTATCACTGAGTAGTAGTCCATTGTATATATATACCACATTGTACTTATCCATTCATCCATTAATGGGCACTTATATTCTTTCCATCTTTTTGCTACTGTGAATTGTGCAGTGATGAACATAGGTGTACATATGTCTGTTCATGTCATTTCTAATAGATCCTTAAGCTATATATGTAGGAGTGGAATTGCTGGGTCATATGACAGCTCTACTTTTAGTTTTTTGAGGAACTGCCACACTGTTCTCCATGATGGCTGTACAATTTTGTATTCCCACCAACAATTGATGAGGATTTTGATTTCTCTATATGTCCCCAACATGTTTTGTTTTCCATTTGTTTATCTTGGCCATCATAGTTGGAGTGAAATAGTAGCTCATTATGGTTTTGATTTGCATTTCTCTGATGGCTAAAGACATTGAGCATCTTTTCATGTGTCTGTTGACCATCTGAATATCCTCTTTGATTGTTCATATCCTTTGGTGAGTTTCTAATTGGGTTATTTGTCTTTTTGTTGCTAAGTTGTAGAAGTTCCCTATATATTTTAAATATTAGAACCTTATCAGTTATATCATTCCCAAAGACTTTTTTTTTTCTTTTGATAATGACTTTTTAAGAACTTTATAAAGCTCTGGTTGTCTATTTTGTTTTCTATCGCTTTTGCATTTGTTGTTGTATTTGATGTTCTATCACTGAAAAAAATTAGGTCGCAAAGCTTTGCTCCTGTAATTTTTCCAGGAACTTTTATGATTTTAGATTTAACATTTAGGATGTTGATCCATTTTGAATTTGTTTTTGTGTATGATGTGTGGTATAGATCTTTTTTCATTTTTTTGCATGTGGAAATCCAGTTTTCTCAATGCTATTTTTTTGAGTTTCTTCTTGAAACTTGAATGGCTTTGCATCCTTGTCAAAAATCAGTTGACCATAAGCTTAAAGGTTCGATAGTAAATATTTTAGGCTTTGTGTGTAACATGTTCTCTGTCACAACTGGTCAGCTCTGTGATTGTAGTAAAAAAGCAGTCATAGACAATGGTAACTAAATGGGTGTGGCTGTGTGCCATGCTAACATTTGAATTTCGTATTAATGTCATATGATACAGTTATTATCCTTTTGAATTTTTCAACCATTTAAAAATGTGATAACAATTCTTAACACTTAGATCATAATAAAACAGGTAGTGGGCAGAATGGACTACTCACGGCCGTTGAGTTGGATCCAACTCATAGTGACCCATCCTTGGGTTTCCGAGGTAGTATCACTATGGAAGTAGATTGCCTAACCTTCTTTCTGAGAAGTGGCTGGTGGGTTTGAACCACCAGCCTTCTGGTTAGTAGTCAAATGCCTTAGACGCTACACCACTGCCTAGTGGACTGTAATTTGCCAGCTGCTGTTTTAGGTCATAATGAGCTCTGGTGGTGGGGTGGGTAAGGCATTTGGCTGCTAAACAAAATGTTGGTATTTCAAACTCATGGAAAAAAAGATGAGACAGTCTGCTTCTATAAAGATTTACAGCCTTGGAAACCTAATGGGGGTCATTATGAGTCTGAATCAGCATGATGGCAGTGAGTTTGATTTTGGGTTTAGCATGGCAGTCAAACCTACCAGCCACTCCTCGGAAGGAAGGTTGGGCAATCTACTTCTGTAGTGATACTGCCTCAGAAACCCAAGGAGGGGTCGCTATGAGTTGGGTCTGACTCGATGGCATATAACAACAACAACAACAACAATGTTCTAGAAAGGAGCTTTGGTGGTGCAGTGCCTAAGGCATTTGACTGCTAACCAGAAGGTTAGTGATTCAAATCCATCAGCTGCTCTGTGGAAGGAAGATGAGACAATCTACTTCCGTAAAGATTTGCCACTTTGGAAAGCTAAAGTAGGTCTCTATAAGTCAGAATCGACTCAGTGGCAGTGGGTCTGGTTTGGTTGGTATGTTCTAGAAAGTGGCAATCCATGGTCTGGGTGAGAATGGTCTGCCATGTGCTTGTGGGGGTTCTAGATGGCATTATCCTGCTGATGGTAATATTGGCCAGCAGAGCCTACATCCAATGGCCCTGTTTAAGCTGTGGAATATCTGTGGTTACTGACTGATTTTTTTTCACTACCACCTGTCTGGTAGAGGGGCCCTGTTGTGCCAGTGAGTCAGAGGTCACTGACAATGTGCCAGTTGCTGCTGTGGATGACTTGAGCTATCTGTGGAGTTCTGACCATCACCAGCTCCAGAGTGTGCATCATTTACACTTCACCTGGCTAATTAAGTCGTGCTAATTACTGCAGCCCCAGGCACAGTGTCTTCTGCTCTAATTGGGAAATGGTACAATTGCTGTCTGCTGCTGAGTTGTGCTGCTTTCCCCTTGGGGCTCCCACAGGCACTGGATTTAGCAACTGCTCTTACCATAGGCCCCCAGTTTGCATGTTCCCACTGCAGGGACTGCCCTTATATAAGGTACTGAGTCCTGCCTCTTACTTCGCCCCTCCTCATAGGAAGACGAATGAGAGAGACACAAGTTTAATCTTGACAGCAAATTCCTTATCGCGCCTTCAGTGCATGAGCACTTTCCTGTTCTAGTTATACCTCTGTCGTGGGACTAAAGAGCAACTCAGTTCCTGTTTTGTCTCCTGCAGGGCGGGAAAGGACGCATAGGAGTGGTCATATCGTCCTACATGCACTTCACCAACGTCTCGGCCAGGTAGGATAGATGTCCATATGCTGCCTTCAGGTGTTGTGGAACTTTGCAACCAACTAGGGTAGAGGCTAGCATCCTGTGAGTTGCCCTGGGACCTGAGGGCATCCTCAGTAGCTACCCTAGTGCACTGCTGCTGGTCTTAGTCTCTGAGACCAAGTGTTAGTGCTGCCATGTTGAATTAAGGGTTTTATATTCATGGGAAAAACACATTTCTTGTTCAGAAGTTATATGTGATTGATATATGGAGGCATCAAAAATATGTTGAGCTCACTGCCATTCTCTACTAAAAATAATAAAGATAAGTATTACTGTTGTTAACAGCAAGAAGAGTGTCATATCATTCTTTGCCTCCATACCTTGTAAATAGTAATGTCGACAGCCATCTTTGGTGTGCACTAGGCCTTGAGAAGCACTTTACTAGTATTCCTTTTCTCACTTAATTTTCCCAACTAGTCTGTGAGGGAGTTATCATTGCTTTTATTTTATAGATGAAGAAACTGAGTCTCAGTAGCATTAGGTGGCTTGCTTGTGATCACGCAGTTTGGCAGTGGGTAGCCAGGTTGACTCGAGGGGCCTCAGGTCCACTCTGTCTGCATAGTGTCCAGATGATTCAGTTCTGAAGAGGTGGAGAAGCCTTCGTGGAGGCATCCCCGGTTTCTGTCTGCCTCCTTAGGGTGATGGGTATGGTAAGGCTGGGAGGGGCTTGGCTGCTAGTCACTGCTCTTGGCACTAGGATGAGTGCCAGATACCACCAAGATACCACCTCCTGGCACACAGATCTCCACTCATGCTGGAAATTCAGTCCAAAAAATAATCTTTATAGGTTCTAAATTTGCATCTGCACTCTCTTCAATGCCCACTTTGTGAAGCATGAACTATTCCCTTCTGAAAAAGTATAAGCCTATTCATATTAGCTGATAAACCTTTTCCTTTATAGCATTAGGGAGTGAAATTTGACTTTTTGAATGTTTTCTCTGGAAACAAATTGCCTGCCAGAGAGGAAACCCAAGCCCCATGTGAAAATCAGATACCTTTTTGGTGATAATAAGTGTTTGGGTATGTGCCAGCCTGATTGAGATTCCTGGTCACATTGAACCACTCCATTCAGCCAAAGACACTTGGTCCAAGACCAAATTGAACTTGGTGGAATCTGGGCACCCTTTGCATTTCTGCCCCCAACAATGCAGTTATTTTTGGAACTGAAAGTCCAGGCACTATGGGCAGTCCTGTCCTTCTTAGAAAAGATGGTGAGAAATGGGCTTTTTCATTTAAAACATACAGTGATACCATTTCTAAAAGCCCTGCTTCTTCAGAATATTCAGTGTATACTTTAGCTGTGTGGTATTTTGCAACTTATATGAATCACTTTAAGCCTTAGTATCCTCATCTAGAAAGTAGGAATAATAGTTGTACCTTAGAGTTCTTTGAAAATTGGTGTATCATTATATGTAAAGCACTTAGAACAAGATTCAACAACAACAACAACAACAACAAAACTCACTGCTGTCAAGTCAGAAGTCATAGCCTCCTTTCCTTGGGTTTCTGAGGTGGTATCACTATGGAAGTAACTTACCCAATATTCCTTACTAGGAGTGGCTGGTGAATTTGAACTGCCAGCCTTCTGGTTAGTGGTCAGATGGCTTAGGCACTATGCCACCAGATGTCTCATTTTGATGACTAGTGCTATTAAAAAAAAAAAAAAAAAAACTCACTGCCATCGAGTCTATTCCAACTCATAGTGACCCCCTTTGGGTTTCCAAGGTGGTATACCTTTACGGAAGTAGTTTGCCCAGTCTTCCTTCCAAGTGGCTTGTAGGTTTGAATTGCCAGCTTTCTTGTTAGCAGTCAAATGCCTTAGGCACTATGCCACTAGTTTTTCTTTAGAATTTAGGTTGCTTCTGTTACTGTCTACTATAAAACATGCCTAGTTACAAGATGTACATGCAGACCACTCAACCCAGGATGACGCACCCACATACTCTATGGTAATACATCCCTTAGAGCAATAGACCATGGGGCACCAGAGGACCAACATTCAGATTGACAAAATACAGGACAAATAGGATTGCATAAATATGAGGGGCACGAGGGAGGGTTACTGGGTAGGGAGGGGAGGAGACTGGGTCAGGGTTGGACATGGTAAATGAGGAGTGAAACTAAATGTACACGTAACGAATGTAAAACAAGCTCTTAAAATGAAAAAAATAAAAATAAACATGCCATGATAAACATATTTTTTCTGTTTACATCTTTGGTCATATCCATGATCTTTTTATTTTATAGTAGGTTACAGGGAGCGTACATTTTTAAGGCCTTTATAGCACAACTGTGCTCCAAAACAAAACAGAAGCTTCTAGTCACAAAGTATGAACAACATTCTTGTATGAGCTGTAAAAATAAGAGTTCATAAAAAATGCTAATATTGTGCAAAATATCTGCCAAAGTACATTATCAGCATTTAATAAATCAAATGAATTCCAGAAAAAAATGTGCTTAAAAGTTAATGGATGGATATAACTAAACTTTTCAACTTAAATAAAAAAGATTAATTCAATTTAAATATTCAGAGTTTAAGTGGACTCTTCAGTTAGTGACAGCCTCATCAACTCAGCCCTTTATTTAGACAGAAAACAAGCAATGAGACCCATTTTGTAGCATATGATGGAAGTTAAGTCACGCTAAATTCAGTTTTGAGTATTTACTTTGTCCTTCTGCCTAGCTGTACATGTTTTTCCCTAGTCTGTTTCCTGGCTCTTGATAGTACCTACAGTTCTGGGACTGTACGAAATTTTGTCTGAGCACATGCACATTCTTCTAAGAGGAGAGTCCAAACTTACTTCAGATTTTTAAGATCTGGCTCAAACAGTCTTAGGAGTTTGATCTTACTGCACTTATGCTCTACCATTTATTTAGAGGTCATGTCAGGAAAACCTAAGTCCCAGTATGGTGTTTCTCAAAGGTTTATTCAATACTAATCTGGGGATGGGGAATTCAGTAAATAAATTGTCTAGGAATTCTGGGTTTCATTTTGTGGCACTAACTTCAAAAAAAAAAAAAATAATAACTGAGTTACTTCTAAAATGTCAGGATGCTATTATTATGCCCTGTTGGACTGCGGTGCTCTTAGTCCTTGTCAAATTTGTTTATAAAAGAGACTTACTAACCAGGCCATCCCCCACCTGTGCCATCCTAGCTCCTGAAACTTGGTGGGGTGTCCACCAACTGAGGTGTTCTGGGGGTCTGTTCCTCATGTCTATACTCCTGCTGGTTTACAGAAGCTTCCTTATGAAGTTGGGACTTGAGCTTGCCTCACTGCCTTGAGTAGAACCCCATTTAAACTGGCCTCATTTGTTTGGGAGGCAGAGTGGAAATGGGCTGGTTTTGGATGCCATTCCTGCTGCTGGCTGTCTGAAAAAACACAGGCTGGTTATTATTACATGAGCTGTGTCTGCAGTAGATTTAAACATCATACCCAGAGATAAGATGGTAGCATTGCAGCTGAGATTTCAGACCTGCCGGCATGGCTTTCACTTTGAACTGAATGTATCCCTGGGGAAGTGAATCCTGCAAAATATGATTGAAGTAGTATACACAAGGTGTAGCAAAAGAACGGACCAACTTGTGATAGTGGTCACTCAGTGCAGCCACAGAACACTTGTTAAATTTACCAGGCCATGCCACGAGAATGCAGCTGAGTTAATGATCTCTCTCTCTCTCTCTCTCACTGCTTCCTTAGTGCCGACCAAGCCCTTGACAGATTTGCAATGAAGAAATTTTATGATGATAAAGTTTCAGCTTTAATGCAGCCATCCCAAAAACGGTATGTATCTACCACCCACCTGTAACCTCCCATCCCTTTTAAATTTTTACATAAAAAATTACCAAATGATACTTTTTCCCAGAAAAGGCAGAAGCTACCCCCTGATGGCCTCCCCACACTGGGAAGTGCTAACCTGGGTCCTGGCAATAAATCTTAGAGAGGGGCTTTTTCATGATAAGAGAAGAAATTAAGCAAAGAATAATTGTGTGGTGGTGGTGGGAGCCACCTATGCCTTTGCCTGGTTCCAGAGAGATAAGTTGATGCTTTCTTTCGCCACATTGTCAGTAATTTGGGTCTTCCCACCCCTGTAGCAAGTTTTCATTTCCCTTGTTATTCTGGAATTTGTTTCTATCCAAGGTCAGTAAACTAGATAGATAATAAATATTTTAGTCTTTGCAATCTCTGTCACAGCTACTTTGTTCTGCCATTCTAACCAGAAAGCAGCCATAGACAATACATTGATGAATGAGCACAGATTTTTTCCAATAAAACTTTTTTTATACAAACATGTGACAGGCTTTAGCCCAAGGGTAGTCATTTACCCCTTTACAGACCACTAGCTCCCTGAGGCCAGGGCAGCATTGTTCTTTTATATTGGAGGACTTCCCCCTTCACTACTGCTGGTGTAGTACCTGGTCCATGGAATATGCTTGGTGAATGTTGGGGAATGGCCATAGTGGAGCAAGTCTTTCTTCTTTTTTAGGTTTGCCCCATAGGCTGAGGTGAAGAATGAGAACTTGAGGAAGGTCAGTGTTGAGAGATAGTGAGAAAAGCTGGTAGTTGACCTACTGCCTCTGCAGATGGTGACTTAATACCGCCAAAAACATAGCTACATTCTTTTTCTTTTTTAAACTGAGGGACAGTTTTTATAATTGTTAAGACATTGGCCAAAATGAATTTACCTTCCTAGACACACGTTAGTTGTATATGTGAGCTTTATTCCCTTCCCTCTGTTCTCCTCTGTGTACTGAAGGTTAAGTCAGCTGATGTGGGCAGAAAGGAGGTCTGCCTCAGGGAGTGAGGCCAGAAATGTATGGTGGTTAAGAGAAGGGTCTCATTATTTCTACTTGGGAGATGGATTACAAGGACTGCCAAACATACCTTTTATTTTTTTTTGTCTTGGGTGTTTCCAACGGCATGAGTCCATTTCTCTTCACACCAGAATGTTCTGGGGAAAAATGGCATCCGTATGTGAGCCTTGCCTCATTCTACTGTGAGCAAAAGACCCCACAGGGAATACAAGTCACTTGAGGAAAAACCAATGTTCTGTCAGTATTATATTTAAATAACTCCTTGCTTTATCTTGACTCATTAAATGTCATTTCTCTGTTGAGTAGTTTCCAATATAGGACCATTAACAGAACCTCCTGTATGGGAAATGAGGAGGAAGCAAAGTGTGTAACCCATGCAGTATGCCTAGCACAAAACCAGAAATAAGATTGGCTCTTATTTTCTTCTTTTTACTCTTATTACTTACTGTTCTCACAGCTTTCTAATAGCATTAAAAGAATATGGAAATATCTCATTTCAATATGCCCCAGAATTTTCATGTATACATAAGGTCACCTTGAGTCAGTTAGAACTAACAGTGGCAACTAACAACAACAAAGTTTTCATGCATCCTGCCTGTCGTTACATATTTGAAGGTAGAGCATTTACATTTCTGTGAAGATGGTTTGTGTTTGATTTTCTGTTCCAAGACTGTAATCTCTCTGTGCTCAGAAATCAGAGTAAATGACCCTTTGGCCTAGTACTCTGCCTAGTACCTTCACTCAAAAGATGCTCACCAAACTCGTATTTATTGAGTGTCTGAATAACCGAATGAATGCATAAAATAAATCTTGGGGAATACTTCAAACCAGGGCTGAATTTCTTAGCATTCCAAGTCACAAAATAGAGTGAGATGATTGCATTTCTAAGTACAGGCACAGTAGTAAGAGCCCTCATCTGGTCCTGAACACCCTATGTGCAAGCTTTGTAGGCTATTTTAGGACTGAGGTCAATAAATCATTTCAAAACCAATTTCTTAGTGAGGGTCAATGAATTAGCTTAGCATTTGTGACTCCAAGAAGCTTACAGTTTCAACAGTGATGTCCCCAGCCCCAGATGACAGAGAAATAACAGAGCTTCTCTGGAGCCTTTACATAATAAACATTTGGTTTGCCTTGCTTGTTAAGCATGTGGTCTATTTAGTGGGAATTAAATTCTCTGTTACTTTGCTCATTCATTACATGTAAAAGCCATCAAGCCCACAGTAGCTAGGTCAAATGACCTAACTTAATGAAGTTTTGTCATTAAGTTACCACAAGTAAGATCTTACTGAAGATAATTCAAAAAAGGTTGCAACAGTGTATTGACAGAGATCTTCCAGAGGTGCAAGCTGGTTTCAGAAGAGGATGTGGAACAAGGGATATCATAGCTGTTGTCAGATGGATCTTGGCTCAAGGCAAAGAATACCAGAAAGATGTTTACTTGTGTTTTATTGACTGTGCAAAGGCATTTGATTGTGTGGACCATGAATGGGAATTCCCGAACACTTGATTGTACTCATGAGGAACTTGTACATTGAGCAGGAGGCTGTCGTTCGAACAGAACAAGGGGACACTGCATGGTTTAAAATCAAGAAGGGAGTGCATTAGGGTTGTATCCTTTCCTCATACTTACTCAATCTATATGCTAAGCAAATAATCTGAGAAGCTGGACTATATGAAGAAAAACGTGGCATCAGGATTGGAGGAAGAATCATTAACAACCTGAGATACGCTGATGATACAACTTTGCTTGCTGAAAGTGAGGATGATTTGAGGCACTTACTGATGAAGTTTGAAGAATACAGTCTGCAGTATGGATTATGTCTCAATATAAAGAAAACAAAAATCCTCACAGCTGGACCAATAAGCAGCATCACAATAAATGGAGAAAAGATTGAGGTTGTCAAAGAATTCACATTGCTTGGTTCTATAATCCATGCCAATGGAAGCAGGAGTCAGGACATTAGATGACGTGTAGCACTGGGCAGGTCAGCCGCAAAGGAACTCTTTCAAGTGCTGAGGAGCAAGGATGTCTCCTTGAGGACTAAGGTGTGCCTGATACAAGCCATGATATTTCCAGTTGCCTCCTATGCATGTGAGAGCTGGACAATGAATAAGGAAGACTGAAGAAGAGTTGATGCTTTTGAATTGTGCTGGGGCAGAATGCTAAAAGTACCATGGACTGCTAAAAGAACTAACAGATCTGTCCTGGAGAAAGTGCAGCCGAAATGCTGCTTGGAAGCAAGAATGGCCAGACTTCGTCTCACCCACTTTGGTCATGTTGTCAGAAGGGACAATTCCCTGGAGAAAGATGTCATGCTTGGGAAGGTGGAGGGTTGATGAAAGAGGGGAAGGCCTTCAAAGAGATGGATTGACACGGTGGCTGTGACAATGGGCTCAAATATAGCAGGGATCATGGACCTGGCATGGGATTGGGTGGTGTTGCGTTCTGCAGTTCATGGGGTCGCTATGAGTCAGAAATGACTTGAGGGCACTTAAAAATAACAAACAAGTTACCTGTTTCTAGCACAGAAACTGTGGCCTTAGGCAGTCCTCTTTTTGTACCTTTAGTCTTCAGCAAACAGAGGGCTACCATGAGAAGCAGCTTATCAAAACCCTGGTGTTTGCATTCTGTTGTTGTCTGTTATGGATTCAGCCCCTGATTCATAGTGACCCTATGTGCAATGGGATTGGAATGCTATGATCCATAGATTTCATTTGCTGATTTTTGGAAGTCGGACACCAGGCCGTTATTCCTAATCTTAGCCTGAAAGTTCCACTGAAACCTGTTCAGTATTACAGCAACACACAAACCTCTACCGACAGAGAGGTGTTGGCTGTGCATAAAGTGCATTGGCTGGGAATCAAATCTTGGTCTTCTGCATGGAAGGTGAGGAATTTACCACTGAACCACCAATACCCTCAACCTTTCCTGTTCCCCAGTGATAATTATTGATGGTGTGTCAAAGTGCCTGTGAACTTGGAGGCCCTTGTGTAGTCTTAGTTTAACATCAACATAATTGAAGTGCTTCATTAAATTATTAACGTTACTTACCTTCTTCCTTTTCATTTTCTTTTGTGAAGAAGAGGGAGTTGAGACAGCAGCACAGCACCCATGTCTGTCTTCCATCTTTTTCTGGCTTTTTCCCCCCATTTGGCATGAGAAAAGGGAGAAGCTTTTAAATGTTGCTGAAAATAGCAAAGTAGAACATGTACCAATTCAACTATTTCCATATATACAATTCAGTGACACTGATTGCAAGCTTCAAGTTCTACAGTCATTCTCACCCTTCTGTTCCAAATTGTTCCTTCACCATTAGCATAAAATTACTGCCCTCTAAACTTACTATCTCACTTTGTATTTAATAAGGGAGTATGGCTGGTAACCAGTCATTCTTTGCAATAGCTAATATCTGAAGGCAAGGGGCAAAATGACCTGTTGGAGGCCCAGGTGGGGTTATAAAAGGCTGTCATCCCCAGTGCTCAGTGAATGCAGTCATGCAAGTCCATTTCACGTGAAGGGAAGAGAGACCAAAAGTCGTGACGTGCAAAAATGAGGATTTCCCTGATGTTTCCAATAGTTAGAAAAGATGCTAACATTGTACTATTATTTGATCTTTTACCTTTCTGTCATTTTTGACATGATTGCATGGATGTCTCAAAGAACATTTGGATATAAGGCAAGGAAGTAGATGTCCAGGCTCTTTTTCACAGGGGCACTTCCACTTGATGAGTACCCCACCATGGTGAGCAGGCTTACTGCACTTAGTAGCTTATAGACCCCCACCCCTACTTACCCCCATATGCAGAGGTGGAGACATAGAGGCATGGCCATGCTTCAGAGCCTCAGCCATGCATCTTGACAAGCTTGGCCACATCTCTGTACTAAATGTCCCAGCTCGCTCAGGCACTGAGGGATGCTGCCACTTGACAGCGTATAACGGGAAGGAAGGGGAAGAGGGGGACAGA